GGTGATGAGAACGGCAGGGCACTACTAATTAATCGGAAGCACAGACATGCACAGCTTCATCAATGGGAGCCAGTGAGTGCACATGATTAGGCAGCAGTACTCGTTAGGCACTAGGGATGCTACGGAAAGTTTTACCAGTGCCCAGTCAGTCAGTCGGTGCACCAGTCCTGCACTACCATCTGCTGCTGCAATTGCCTCGTAAATGAGCACCACTAATTAGCCATCATCGGCAGATGGTTGGGCACTTCTACTACTACTACTAGCTGCAAGCTGTAAGTGTAAGCAAATGAAAAGTGCAGATAAATACCTGACAGAAGATTAGGGTGATCCGGTGCTGCTGGTGGGGAGAAAGTGGATGGAAAGTGGATGAGGTGGTGAAGTGGAGATCCGCCTGTGGCCGCCCGATTCCTGGCCACAAGGCTTGCTTCGGTGGGGCACACAATGATGGGACACAGAATGATGGGCTAGGATGGCCAAGGATGGCCAAGACAATGTGCTTCGGATTGTGGTAGTGCTGGGCTGCTGTGGTGACAACACAGGCAGCGAGGAGGAGGATTTCTTCGAGTGCAACAATTACTCAGCAGAGGCAGTGGTAGCGTCAGTGGGAGCAGCAGCAGCAGTAGAAGTGGAGGAGAATCCAGTCGGCCACTGTGGCTGTGGCTGCTTGGCCACCACAGACTCGTCTTTGCTGCCTATCTATAGACGACGCAAAGGAAAGAGAGAGGAAACAGGCGAGACTGGCAATGCTTGGCAGACGGGGGGCAAAGTGCTTCTTCTTCGCGTTTCGCTGACGTTCGCTCAAGTCCTTCTCCTTACCGAGCTGAGGAGAAGGAGAGCAGTGAGCAGACCATTGTTCAGTTCAGGGAGCACAGCAGCAGCTTCGATGAGCATCAGAGGGAGAGCAGACGGCAACAGCAGCGGCAGTGGCTGAAGTGGAGCACTGATGGCCAGGTAGACACGAAGCACAGTAGACACTCGCATCGGCAGACACGGCTTCCCCAACGATCAGGGCACACCTTGGCAGACAGAGGCANGAGGAAACAGGCGAGACTGGCAATGCTTGGCAGACGGGGGGCAAAGTGCTTCTTCTTCGCGTTTCGCTGACGTTCGCTCAAGTCCTTCTCCTTACCGAGCTGAGGAGAAGGAGAGCAGTGAGCAGACCATTGTTCAGTTCAGGGAGCACAGCAGCAGCTTCGATGAGCATCAGAGGGAGAGCAGACGGCAACAGCAGCGGCAGTGGCTGAAGTGGAGCACTGATGGCCAGGTAGACACGAAGCACAGTAGACACTCGCATCGGCAGACACGGCTTCCCCAACGATCAGGGCACACCTTGGCAGACAGAGGCAGAAAGCATGGAAGTGGTGATGACAGTCCTTGGTGCTCGGGTTGAGGATCCCAAGTGGAGGTGTGCGGTCTTGGAAGCAGTGGTTGTTGTTCTTTTTGTCCAAGTCCAAATGGGCAAAAGATCAGCAGAGTTAAGGGGCGCACTTCCTGGCAGCACTATTAACTGACGGTAACGTGGCCGAGCGGTCTAAGGCGCTGGTTTTAGGCACCAGTCTTTTCGAAGGCGAGTGTTCGAATCACTCCGTTGCCATTTTTATTTTTGGGTCTTTTCGGGTGCGATACGACTTCCGGAAGGGCGGTGGCCTCTCCGGTGATCAGGTCCGCTAAAAAACTTGATGTTTTGCACCTTTTTTGCCGCTGTTTTTGCCACTAAAAAAGCACTGGTGAGCGTGCCAAAACGGCTAGAAGAAGGAAAGCCGAATGCCATTGGTTAGAAGGATTGCCAAATAAACACCCAATCACTTACCACTACTGCACCCACTTCAGACGCCCTCAGCAGCGAGCTTGACCAGAAGTTTGGGACTTTCGAAGAACGTCAAATCTGCAGACATCAAAACAAAACACAGAGTGAGAGAGGCAGCCAAAAGCACCCAAGGGGGATGAGCAGCAGCGTGTGGCTGCGTGCACAATAGCCAGCCATGCTGCTGCTGTTGCTGCCAGCTGACTGCCTGCCGCCTGCACGTGCGTCTCTCCGAGTTTGGATCCCGATTCTCTCCCAATTCCTCGATCATCATGGCCGCCTGGATGCTGTCACTCTCCGAGGACGAGGCGCTGGTGCGGACGGCCCTCAAGAAGATGCCCGTCGCCGAGGTGCCCGAGCTGCTGAACGAGCTGCAGCGAGGCCTCTACCGCAGCGGCGACCACCTCCCGAAGTACCTCCGCTGTCTGGCCATCCTCCTTGAGGTCAAGTTTACCTATCTCTCCGTAAGTCCTCTTCTTTGTAGTCACTCTGGGAACTAATCACTTCCTTTTCCCCAATTGGGCAGATGACCAATCTGGGGCAGTACCAGGCGCTGAAGCAGCTGCTCGACGCGCGGACCACACTCCTCGCCGGCTGTCTTCGTCTGAAGGGCCGCCTTGATCTCCTTCTCGCACATGTAAGTGTTGATGTACTCAGTTTACAACAACAACTAATTCACTCACTCACTCACTTTCCAACAGACAACAAAGCCCGACCTGAAGTACACCAGGCCTGCAGCCAAGCAGACGTACGAGTCAGACTCTGAAGAGGAGTCGGAAGAAGATGAAGAGGAAGACGAAGAGAGGGAAAATGACCATTTGAAGATGAACGGCCACGACCACGATGATGACGTTGATCAGGGCATCCTCGACGACGAGGACATGGACGAGGAGATGTTTGGATCGGAGGAAGAGGAGGGCGACGAGGAAGAAGAGGGGGACATTGAGGAGGCGGAGGATGCCGCCGCCGAGGCTGACGAAGATTCGGCTGCAGAGGCCGACGACGACGACGATGATGACGATCTTGAAATGGATGACGACGACGACTGATACCAAACTTCGGTGATTCCTTGGATTCCTTTCTGTTGAATTTATATTTTGTCCATTACTTCTTTTGTATTTATTATCTTTCTTTCAACTGCTGCTGTATCATACCGATCCATGTAAATCATAAACTCTCTTTTGAACTCCACCACTTTCCACTGGGACTTCTTTGTACCAGAATACCAGAATCATCAGAATCAGAACGACTGTTGAAGCTGTTGGGAAAGGGAGATGCAACCGAGCGCCGAGCGAAAAAGGGGCGGCAACAAAAACTGCCGATCCGGCTGCGCATCAATGTAAACCAACTTTTGCAAGCACAGATTCTTACTTGATTCTGCTCGGAATAAGTCGGGAGTAGTTGCAATCAAAAGATGGAAACATAATCTAAAAGTTAGAAACAAAACACGGGTTCAATCAGTGCAGTTTAAGGGAGAAAACTGGGTCCAAAGTTGACCCTCTGGACTTAGGCAGAGGCAGCAAACTCCGCCCAGAAAAACAATGAATTTTCGGACACTTGTCCTGTTCGGAGAGTTGTCTAGAGGCAAGACAACTCTCCGAAAAAGGGCATGTGACCGAAATGTAGCAAACCACGCCCTAAAATTTTAAAATTTAGATTTCTTTGTGAAAGGTTGGTCCTAGAACGTTGAAACAAAAACCATTTTAAAGAAAATTAACTGGGGCGCATTTATAAATAAGTTTTAAACATGTAAAAGTAATTCTTCATTGTTAAAAACGGTTTTGAAATTTTTAACTTATTGTTTTAATAGGAAAATTTAACCAACTGTCAGCAACTGCTACTGTCAATTAATTATCCAATATTTTAAAGTAGTTTGCAAAAAGAATTACAAAAATCACCCCAGTAATTTTTGATATACAAATTTTCAAAGTTTTAAAGCAGTTTTTTGCTGTTTTCTCGAGCATGGAGCATGCTAAGCTTTCGATTTTGGTCTTGAAAAATCCCAATTTGCCGTCTACACAAAC